AGTTAATTTTACATAAAGATTGTTTTGTTTTTGTTTATTTTTTTCTAAAAATATATATAAAAATGTATTGGATTTCAAATAAAATCCACAAACAATATGCAAATATATATATAACTTGTTATTTGTGAAAAAAAATAAATTCAAATTAAAATAATAATAATAATAATAGTATAAACACATGGGTTTAATTAGATTAAAAATAGGCAAAAATAAAAATAATTAATTTAAATTTGAAAAAAATATAAATATATAAATTGTATTTAAAAAAGAATATATTGAAACAATCCATATTATTGATAATTAATCAATAATAATAATAATTAATAATAATAATAATAATAATAATAATAATAATAATAATAATAATAATAATAATAATAATAATAATAATAATAATAATAATAATAATAATAATAATAATAATAATAATAATAATAATTAATAATAATAATAATAATTAATAATAATAATATTTTTATCACAAATAGAGCTCAAAAAAATTCAGCGCTTCTACAAAATGTATGGTATTTTCGTTGAATAAATTTATTTATATTTGTTTGTTTAATATATTATACTATAATATAATTAAATTTAAAATAAAATAAATTGAAACATTTTCAGTGGTTTTTTTATATATATTTTTTAACTTTAAAAAAAATATTCTTCAAATAAATTCCACTCACTATTGCTTTTTATTGCTGAAACTGTAAGCGCTGTTCAGCACCGAGAGATCAATTCACTATTATTTTCATTATTATTATTATTATTAATATTATTTTCAAGTATTATTAACATTATATTAATTTATATATTAAATACTTGAGTGTTTGTATGTATGTGTGTATATCTCTCTCTGTATGGGTTTAATTATAAATATTTTAATTGTATTAATAATAATAATAATAATAATAATAATGAAAACATAATTTTTGTTTCTATATTTCAATAATAATAATAATAATTAATATAATTATAATAATTCGGACCATTTTGGCAATTGATTACACTTTTTATTATTATATAAATTATGTTATAATCAGACACACACAAAAAAGTGTTTCATTTTATTTTATTTTTTTTTTATTGGTTACAAATATGTGTATTTTGATCGGTGTTGTGTTTGTTAATAATAATAATAATAATAATAATAATAATATCATATAATGTTAAAAATATATATATAAATTTTAAATAATATACTATATTTGTGTTGCAATTAATAATAATAAAAAAAGATATGCATATATATATAGACAACAACTAAAATCCGATCGTTTTAAGAAATATCTCATTATTTTTAAATTTTAATTATTATTTTTTTTTTGAATAATTATGTTCAATAAATATTTTGTGTGGAAGAGCTTTGCATTTATTTGAGATAATTAATAATAATTAAAAAAAAACCTAAAATAAGTAAACAACAAATTAAATATATATATTTTTATTAAATTTAAAAAATATTATCTCATTTTTTCCTATCTCTCTTTCTTTCTCTCTCTCTCTCTCTCTCTCTTTCTCTCAAGCAATCAATTAAGGCTAACCCTGTTTCAAATTTAATTGGCAATACAATTGGCAATAATTAACATCCATTAAAAATAACTGGTAAGTCATATACAATATATATATATATATATATATATATATATATATATATATATCTATATATATAGTATAGTAGGCCTGTTCCCTATCTATTGATAATTGTTGTTGTTATTGGTATCTCCCTATCCAAACTGATTGTAATCCTCAAAATTAATTAGATAAAAAAAATTATTATTATTATTATCACATTTAATTGATTTTTTTGTGCCCAAAATTTTTATACATTTTCTCACATATTAAATGCCTTATGATTTGACTTGAGTTTGCTTTGGATGAGAGTGTCGTTCACTTAATTTTTTAAACAAATTTTTTTAATAAAAAATTAATTAATTATATTAATAATCATTATTATTTATAGCTAATCATTTAATTAGAAGTTGAACTAAAAAATTAATAATAATAATAATAATAATAAATATATATTAAGAAAATCTTTTCAAAATTTCTTTTCCTTTCAAATATTTAGTTCACAAAAAATGAGTCAAAAAATTTAATTTCTATAATAAGTCTAATATGACTGAATGGCACAAAATTATTATTTTGTTTTTTAAGTGATAACTATTTTATTATTATTACTACTAAAACTAATGTCTAATAATGTACAAAAATGAGAGATATTTAATATATATATATATATAAATAAAAAAAAAAGAGTATTTGTTAACTAAAAAAAATTAAATTAAAATAATTATTTTAATAAAAATATATAGATTTTAGTTACTAATTACTAAAAAACGAGTTTCCAATAATTTTTTTTAAAATAAAAAAAAACTATCAAATTGTTTGGTATTTTTTGTTTTGTTTTACTTGACAAATATTTTTTTGACTCATTTTTTCTGTATTTCAATTTTACATTTGTTTTTTTTCTCCATAAAAATTGTCTCATTTAAGTCTACATTTCAATTATAAGTTTACAACAAGAAAATAATTATATAAATAAAAACATTATAAAAAATGCTTTACAAATACCATGCATTGCATTGCAATTTTTAGTAATAATATTTTTAAAAAAAAATGTGTGATTAAAATGCAAAATCAGCTCATATTTTGTAATATATAGTGATTAGTTTTTTTTGTTGGCTAAAATTAAAAAATAATATATTATAAAATAATATAAGTAAAGGATTTATATAATAATAATAATAATATTTAATAATAAGTACACTAACAAATTATTATTAAATAATTTAAATAATATTTTCAGGCGGGGGGGGGGTAAAAAATGAAATAAACTGTATTATAATAATTTCATATTTAATAATTAAAAAAAATTAAGATATTATTTTCAATTATCAATTGCTAATAATTTGAATTTTGAATATATTATTTTGTTTTTGTTTTTTTGAGGCCATTTCATATCATTATATATATATATATATATATTAATATAACCGGGATATATGTAATACAGTATATGTATTAAACACATTTATAATCATCACTAAATACATATACATTATTATATATATATATATTTATATATAATAAACATAATATACTAATAGTGTAATGACAAATGTATAATAATATAAACAAACAAAAAATATATTTAAAATTACAAAATAAAAAAAAGATTATAATATTAAACCAAACATTTGATAATCAGATCATATATATATATATATCAGTATTTTTTGTTTAATATAAAAAAATGAGAGATTAGATAATAGTGAAATAACTTAACAAAATATTTTTATATATAAAAAACAAAAATATAAATAATTATTAATAATAATAATAATGATAATCATTATTATTATTAGTACTATTATAATATAAAAATTTGTACCTCAAAAATATCGATGAGCACCGGGGTGGTTTCAAATATACAACAAATAAGATTCAATTGGTATCTATATACTGTATTATTATTATACTGTATATATAATAATGTATGTATCATATTATATGTGAGACATTGTAATAATAAATATATATATATATATTTTGTTAAAAATTACAAATTGTTTTTTGTTGTCACTAATAATAATAATTATAATTATAAAAAGCAGTCATTAATTTAAATAGACTGATAATATTGTTTATGTACTGTATATTACATAACTTTTTTTTATTTATATGATTAGATAATAAGTGAATTATCAACTATTTTTTTGGTTATTCAAATATAATTATTATAACTATTTTTTCAATGTTAATGTCAAATATATTTATATTAGACTTTTTCAAAAGTATAATTTTTTTTAATTAAAATGTTATAAATTATTATTATTATTATTTTACAAAAGGCACCGTATGTTTGGTTTTATAATAATAATTGAAAAAAATTTGGTTGTTTTTTATATAAATAATATATTTTTTTGCTGAAATAATAATAATAATATTATTATTTTTTAAAAAATGTAATCAATTTTTCAATATTATCTAAACATATTATTTTTGTTTTATAAATATTAATAATGCAATATTTCTAAATAGATTCAATTTCAAAATATAATAAAAAAAAGTTTAAAATTATTTTGTTTTAACTATGTTTTGTGTGAAAAATAAATTATTATTTCAATAGTAATAATAATAATAATGTAATTACCAAACAAATAAACATATGATTGCAATTTATTTTAATTAGATTATATATATATATAAATGTTATACTAATAATAATATTATTATTATTAATAATAATTTGTCGTTTCTATTGTCGTTATTTAGATTTTTTTGTTTGTTTGTCTATAAAATTAACTAAACATTAGAAATAATTTTTTTGTTGTTGTCTTCAAAACACTATTTTTACTTAAATCAGATTAGACTTCAATCACAGTTTTAAAAATTTATGTTTGAAATCAATTCCTATCTAAACAATTATTATTATTATTATTATAAAAATTATTAATTATATAAAATGAGCATAAAATCTAATGATAAAATATTTTTCATCAATTTGTTGTTTATTTTCTTACATATATTTAAATTGGATAAAAATGAATTATTATTATTATTATTATTAAATAAATTTAGTTTTTGTTTTAATTAAATAATATTATATAACAACAACACACTGTTGGCCTGGTTTTCTTAACGCAATTAATTGTCTCAATATATATATATAATATATACAAATTGCTTATATATATATATGCAATTTATTTTGTTTTGTTTTTAAATTTCAATAAAATTTCAATCATTAATTAGACATACGAAATGGTTAGACATCATCACCGGTAGTTATGTCACACACATATATATTTATACAATATATATATATATGTATAATAATGATTATATATATATAAATGATTTTTTGTGTGTAATTTATATATATATATATATATATACTGTATATATATCTTATGAGTCCAATTGCACTAAAAAATAGAGAAAAACCTACAGAAAAATCCTTAAAGATTTTTGCTATTTTTTACAATATTATTATTATTATTATTATTAATTATTATTATTATTGCGAGTGTTTGTCCTTTAAAGATAAGGGATGGTCGCCAATGGCCGACGCCGCCGATGATGGCATCGATGCATAGTTTCTGATTTGATGCAATGCTATCAATTGGTTCGGGAATGACGAATGGCCGCCACCTTTGCCGCTGACATCCATTGCCGACTTCATTTCGTTGACCATTCCGGACATTCCGCCGCCGCCGCCGGCTTTGGTCGCAAAGCCAAACGACTCGTAGGGAAAGTAGGCGGCAGCCACTGCCGCGTTGCGGGCATTGGCATTGGCGCCGCTGAGCGTCTGGATGGGCGTAAAAGCCGAAGTAGACGTTTTCGGATCGATATTATAGAGGAGATCGTCGGCCGACATTTGGCGGCCATTGCCTGTTAGATTCTGTCCACCGCCACCAGACAATCGGTGCTGTACTGTCTGGTCGAGCTCTGAACGGGAATAGCGAGGGCCACCGCCGCCGGGTGGCGACTGGTCAGTGTTGAGTACCGATGCCAGACACGACTGTTCTGTTTGATGGTGATGATGATGATGGTGCAGATGCGAGCCAACAAGATCGCCGACACACTCGTTGTTATTCTGGTTGCCGCCACCGCCTCCGCCGCCAGAACCACCGATTACCGAACCTTTTGGCCAGTAGACATCGGCCGCTGTTGAGTGGCTACCGCGGAGCAGTCCGGCCGAACGTTTTTCCATTCTGTCCGCATGTTTTTGCATATGTTTAGCCAAATAGGTTTCCTGTGTATAGGATTTGCCGCAATACTGGCAAATATGTGTCTTAAGATGTTTGGACTCTTTGTGCTTCGGTATGTGATCCAATAGACTGGTTTCATCCGTAAAACATTTATAACAACTGTTACATTTGTACGGCTTATCCGTCTGATGACATCTGGAATGGCTCTGCAGATTCGATAGCTGCGAAAAGGCCTTATTACAGCCCGGGTGTCGACACTTGTATGGTTTGTCACCGGTATGCGTGCGTATGTGTTGCTGCAGATGGGACAGTTGGGTAAACTTTCGCTGACATATTTCGCACCGGTAGGGCTTAATACCCAAATGGATTCGTGTGTGTTGAGACAAATACGATGAATTGGCAAATGATTTTGAACATTGCGAGCACTTGTATGGCTTGGCTTCTCTCATATGGATCTGTGTATGCAATTGCATGTCGGCCTTTGAACCGAAGATCTAGACATTAGAGAGAGAGGATAGTCAGCAAAAAAATTAATTTAAGACACAATTAATTAATATCACTGCACAGTTAGTATTGAAAAATTGAATAAACAATATATTTTAGATTTTTGTTGTTATTGAGAGTATAGTTATTATTAGCAATCAAAGTGATTGATGAAGTCGTCATTTAGACTAAAAAATTAAACTTTTATATTATATAAAATAAATTATATCAATATATATATATATCTATAAAACTATATATAAATATATAAATATATAAATATATAAATATATAAATATATAAATATATAAATATATATATTTATCAATTGTGTGGCACACCGTTGTATGTATGATGAGTGTGTGTGTGTGTGTGTTATACATAGGGTCTAAAAAAAATGTATTTTTCAGTTGATTATGTCTACTATTATACCAATACATTCATTATAAATGAAATACATATATTATATAATTGATAAGATATGCAAATATGACTTATATATATATTATATTTATAACTAATAAGTATGTAAGTGTACTCAAAAAATCATATTTTTTGAAAAATTAATTTTTAATCACTTTAGAAACTACAATTAGACTCTTTTATTTATTTTTATTTATTTAGTCTATCAAATATATAACTATATATATATTTTTTTGTAACTACTATCGCTTTTTAAATTAATTAAACCAATCATCTATTTTTTTGTTAGTTAGTAGTCATAAAAAATATATTTTTTGTGCATTTGTTTTGAATCAAACTGTTTTTTTCGACAAATATTTTTATACATTTTTATTTTTATGTATTTATGTAACCACCAGTAATATATATATAGTGTAGTTATTTTAAAAGCTATATTTTGTATATTTATACAAATTAAATGATTTTTAAGTAAAAAAAAGGAGAGACAAAAAATAATAAATAAAACTATTGATGTTTTATTGATTTGCAAAAATTATATATATAAAAAAAGAAAATTATCATTAAAAAAAATATTACTAACAATTGTCTAAATGTTTTTTTTATAAATGTAATATATTGTTAAATACAAAATTATTAACAAACAAAAAAAACAATTTTTATCCCCTCTTTCTAGTCTAATATTTCAAAATAGAAAATGTTTTTTATTATAAATATTAAAATATTACTACTTTTCAATTGACTAACAATTAACAACAACAATAAAAAAATCAATAACTATTCAATTGATTTTTATATTATTTCAAATGTCAACAATTTTTATAGTTATTGAAAATAACTTTTTTTCTGTTTGTTTGCTATCAATTAATTTTTTGAATACCAATAGAGGAAAAAATATAGGTATATATATATACAGTATATATATACATATATGTATATTAGATATAGATTTAGATATACGTGTTTGTATAAATATATATATATATATACCTGTATTTATGTATTTATTTAGATAAAAATATTAAATAATAAATTTTGTGTAAACTAATTAAAATTTTGCTCATTTATTTTCAAAGCAATTTAACTAACATAAATTATAAGTTAATAATTTTATATAAGCCTTAAAGTATATTTGAATAGTACTGTATATACAGTATACAGTATATATATATATATTATATAATTTTTTTTGTCTCTCTCAAAAAATACCAATTGTATTATTGGACAACCTTGATTAAAAAGTGGCCAATAGACATATAAAGTGATACCAGTTTTTATATATATATATTATACATTAATTAACTAATCTATTAACTAATGAAAAATTATGTCTATATTTACGCCTATTTTCTTGAATACATCAACAAAAAAAAAGATCATAATATGGTTATGAATTAATTTCAGTTTAATATATATATATATAGAAAAATAAAGTTTTATATTTTGTTTATTATTATTATTATTATATTTCTTAAAAATTTTTAAAAACTAATTCAAATGCCGCTTTAATTTATGAGATAATTTATTGTAAATGTTTTATAATAATTATTAAATCAGAAAATTAATGCAAAATTTTTTGAAGGCTTTTTTGAATTTTGTATTTCTGAGTAATGATTTTGTGTATTATTATTATTATTATCATTATTACAATATTATTATTATTATTAATGGATAACCTTCTAATGGGAAGCAAAATTAAAAAAATAAAAATCAATGTCAGCTAATATTTATTTCTAAGCACTATTATTATGTAGTATTTATAATATAAATAATAATATAATAATATTATGATATTATAAAATATTTGTTACAACATATATACAGTATATATATATATATATATATACAGTATATATAGCGTTATACATAATATATTATAAAAGTCTTAATATAATTATATTATCTATAATTTAACTAATTTTATTTTTAAAATAATTTTTTTAAAAAAAACCTAAAATTATTTCTATAATAATTAATAGGTATTAACTACAGATAAAAGTCAAACAATAGCATTAAAAATATAAACAAATTTAATTTAATTTTTTTTTAATGTAACCAATTTTTAATATAGTAATGTACCAGTATAAATTATATAAGCAAATATTTACTCTAATGTTTTTTACAGTACATTTGATTTTTAATTTTTTTTATAAAATACAGCATTAATCACACATTTTTACACATTTGACAAAATTTTATCACATTGTAAAAATTAATTGTGCTAGCTAATATTGATATTAGGATATTTTTAGCATTTAATTTTAAGTAAATAATATTTCTCTCTCTCTCTCTCTCTCTCTCTCTCTCTCTCTCTCTCTCTCTCTCTGTAAAAATATAAACAATTATAAATTAAATACATGTTTAAAAATAGTTATTTTAATAATAAGCTATTTTTTCTAAATAAAATATCAATTATTTTTTACATACAAAATCCTAACTTTTACTTTTACAAAAAATAATTACATAATTTTAAAACATAATAATATTATGTCGTTAAAAAATATTTATTACTATTTTGTTAACTATTATTAATTAAATAATTAATTAATTATAATTTATAATTATCTATTACTTTTATTTATTTTTTATTTATTTAATTAGACAATAGTTGGCATGATTACTCAAAATTTTTTTTAAAAAAATATTATAAATTAAATAACAAAAATCTATAATAATATAAATTATATTCAATGCTAATGTTAAATTAATATAAATACTAGTGTATATAAAGTATAATTGTTAAATTAATATTATTGCCGTATATAATTACTATAGATATATACGGTATATATATAAATGATATATATCATTTATATATATACAGTATATATCTAAACTATATAATATAACTAAATATTTGGAAAGTAATCATATATTTTTGATTTATATTTAAAAAAAAATTAAAAAGTCGTTTATTGGTTTTTTTATACTACGGTAATTATAATTTGAAAATAATTATTTTATTTTATTATCATATAATTTGTATAATTTAAATTTAAATTAATATTTTTATTATTATTAATAATCTTTTTTTTTGTTGTTTTTTTATAATAATAATAATTATTATTATTTTTATTAACATTATTATTAATAATAGTTGATTAATGGAGCTTTAATATTGAAATCAATAGTAAATTTAATAGTATAGTTAAAATGTTAATAATAATAATATGATTTCAATTTTCTAGCTATAACTTCAACTGTATTAACAACAACAACATTACTCAGAAATTATTACAAATATATATATAAATAATTAAAAATATTTTCCATATCTAAAAATTGTCTATTAGTTTAACAATTAATAACCCTTTATGTTATTGAAAAAAATGTTTTTTATATATAAATTTTATATTACTGTATTTATAACTATTATATAGTATTGCTTATCCAATAAATGTTTAGTTATACAGTATATATATAACCGCAAAAAATAGAGACAATTTCAAAAAAATACTCTATAAATGTTTGAAATTCATTGCCGACAATACAAAAAAAAGTGTTAGTACTGTAGTATATACCGTATATATAATGTATATAACAAGTTGTAATGGATTTGAAACTATTCAAAAAACATATGTATTTATTATACAAAAAATTTAATGTATTTTTTGCGCTCATAAAATACTAGACAATGAGAGACAATGTGTATTTGGTGTGTGTGTGTGTGTGAAACACTATTTAACTCTTTTTTATGTAAAACTTTGTTTAAATATATATATATTTTGTAATTAAATATATTTTAAAAAAACTGAAAAATTAAATTATATATATATAATATTTATTACCTTTACAACTATATATATATATATTAATTTCTAAATACTAAAATTCAACAATAATACAAAAAGATAATACAAAAAAATATAAAAATTAAAAAATAAAATTCTAATATCATAGTATCAAAGTATATAATATTATTTTTTGGAATTAAAATAAAATAATATATATATATATATATATATATATAAAATAATTAAAAAAAATATATGTATAAAAATATCATACCTGTGGACACATTTTGCACTGGTATTTCCTGCCGGTGCCATTAGTTGTGGCACCACTACTGGTCAGAGTATTTGACGATTTGAGTGGTTGGGGCACAACAAGCATCTGCTGTGCCGTCATCGGCGACTGAGGCCTACTGTTATTATTATTATTATTATGACGATTGCCGCCGGCGTGACTACCATAGAGTTGGTGGTGCAATGAGGGCGATGTGTCTAAGCCGCCGCCGCCACCACCCGATCCCGAGCGGCCTTCATCTACACTATTATTATTGTTGTTGTTGTTGTTGTTGGGACCTAACAAACAGTAGTATAAATAGTTAAATACAAAAAAAAAAAATTTTTTTAACGATAATATGACTTAACAATCACTATATTTAAAAAAATGTTTGAAAAATATTAAGTGTAAAATATTATATTATAAGTTATATTTTAAAATTATATTTATATATTTTCAAATATGTATGTAACGATGTATTGTATATATATATTAAATACCATATAATTTATTACTATTATAGAAACTATCTTATTGTTATATAACATGTATTTTGATATAATACTTGGATATAATATACATGTACTGTATATAACTACTACAGTATATAATATTAAGAAATTATAATAACAATACATTTATAATATAAAAAAAATTATTAGATAATTATAATAATAAAAATTTTTTTGTGAATGTCATCATTGAGTAACTATCATAGATGACAATCAAATTGTTGTCAAAAAAAATATAGAGACGGCAATAGTATGAGAGAGAGAGACACCCGATTAGACACACACAGACACACACACACACATCCATACATCCGACATAACAGATCAGATCCCTTACCATCGTTTGGTATAATAGACTTGAATTTTGGTTGATATAAAAAGTTTTTCAATTTGAATAATGATATCACAGGAGTAGCGGTGGATGTGTTATTGTTGTTGTTGTTGCTATTATTTGATTGATTGGCACTACTATTACACATAGTTTGTCGATTGGCCTGATTTGGTTCAGCAATAGTATTATTGGCAGCGGCGGCTGCACCACAACTACCGGTGCTGAATTGTGTGGCACTACTAATTGAGCTCTCTTTAAGATCCATCATCATATTTACTTATTTTTTTTTTTGAAGAAATTATTTTTTTATTAATAGTTTTTTGTTTGTTTGTATGGATAATATGTTGGCTCCCTTTTAAATTATATATAATTTTTGGCAATAATTATTATTAACACTCATTTGGTGTAGTATTAATATGGATGAACACCTAAAAAACTACCAGTACTGATGTATGGATAATATATATATAGAGAGAGAGAGAGAAAGAGGGATCACTAACTACTGTAGTATATCCCTATATACTGTATATACAGTACAGTATAATATGACATCACTTTTGCTAAGACAATAGGATTTTCACACACTGGTAGTAGTAGTAGACAATGAAATCACTGGGACTGACCACTGCATCGCACCATAAGCTTAGGGCTACCACAGCTGGGTTTTTTTGGTGGTGTTGTTGGTATTACACACACACACACACACCTACAAGTAGTATACAAGTATGATATCTATGGTCAGCACTGGAAGATATTGTATAATTAACTATAAATAAATATATTTATATATAATTTTTTTTGGCACACATTCATTGGTGGAAGAGAGAGAGAGAGGTAGAGACAGAAAAAAAATTATATAAAAAGAGGAAAAGAGATACACTTTAAGAGAGTCTATGTAAGAGATTGGGAGAGAGAGAGAGAAAAAAAAGAGAGAAAGAAAGAAAGAGAGCATAGGAGAGAATGGATGAGACTATTAAAAGAGCAAATCACTGAAAATAGCATCAATTTGTGAAAAGCATTGATTATATTAATAATAATAATAATAATAAGTCATTGGATGAATAGATGGATGACAGGCATTGGGAGACAACAACAACAACAAAAAAACAATAAGAAAGCACAGTTAGCATTCATCTACATAAGTAAAATTATGCACAGTTAGATAGATAAAATACATGTAAGTGATTGGATATGGTGGGTATAGTAGGGTGTTGTGTGCACTTGTACAGTATTTTATATAATAGACACTCACACTGTTTTTAAAAAAAATACCTGACCTCTTGTTGTATGCACACATCAAACAGTTATGACATCCAATTATGATGTCCACTGTTTATCAGAGGAAAGGGTCAAAAAAAATTTCTTTCGATGACAATAAGTAGTTGTCATTATTATTATTATTATTACTGTAAGTGTGTATTTCTGGTACTGTTTTGCAGTGGCTATGATGGTGATGACGATGGTAGTAGTGGTGGTGGTGGTGGTGGTGATCAAGTGATCGACACACTATACTACCAGTGCAACATACACACACACAACTACAGGCAACTCCCAGCCGTGAACACACACTCACAAACCATACAAACTGTRTGTGTGTTTTTTTAATATATATATATATATATATATATATTTATATAATGACTAAAACTGTATATATATTTTTCACAGTTATTCTCTGATAAAACTAACTACTGATTCCTCCTGTCATTGTTGTGTATGTAGTTTTTAGTTCAGTTTAGTTGTATATTATAACCAGCACTGGTAGTAGTAATAGTAGTAGTAGTAGTAGTAGTTATGGCAGAAAACTCTACAAATACTAGCAATAGAAAAGTGCTCAAAGGGTTGGGTAGGAATAGGAAGCCAAGGACAGTGTTATAATCACTAACTGTTAGCACTGTTATATACACACTACTGTACCACTGTTTTATATTAAAACGGCACTGTTATGTATGTATGTGTTTTTAAAACACAGCACAGGCATATATATATATATATAATACTGTATATTCTTAGCTCTCAATGTATTTTAATGTGTTTTAAAATTATTTTTTTCAACTAAAATAATAATAATAAATAAAAATTTTGTTCAACTTTTCTCTCTCTCTCTTTCTTTCTAACTGTGAATGTCATTGAATATTCAGTACTACTACTACTACTGGTTTGTATGTATATGTGATATGTGTTTCTTTCAATTGCAACAAATTTTTATTATTATTATTATTATCATAATTATTTGTTTTTATAATGTCTCAAATATTTTTGAGCAATATATATATATATACTGTATATAACCATACAGTATATCCTAGACATCCATATGCTATGATTATTATGTGAACAACTAGTCTACAATATTATGGTGCTTATAGACTATCAATTATATATACAGTATATATGAAAAATAATCAACAAATTAATGTTTTGTTTTATTATTATTATATCAATTGATAATTTTGTTTGTTGCCAATTATATAATATATTGTAATTCAATAATATGAATATATATTTATATTTTTTAATAATTAGCAAAAAAAAATAAATTTTTGTAAATATTATTGTATATATTTATAAATATGATGCCAAAAATATATATATATATGTATATAACTGTAAAATTTTTCAATGTCTGAAAACTTTACATTACGTAATTAAATGCGATCCCTTAAAAATGTGTATGTTTTTACCCCTTTCAATACATACATACATACATATAGACATCACCAGTCATATAGACATGCGATTTACGAGTCTAAAGGGTTGAAAAATAGAGAGAAAGAGAGAGAGAAAGAGAGAGAGAGAGAGAGAGAGAGACAGCACATACATACAGAATAAGCTTAATGAGAGGCATATATATATTGTATATATTATATAAGGGACATACCATTCTCATGCCATACCAATTGCCATACTATTCAATGGCAATATTGCATATATAAAGTTTGCACATACAGTACATACTATACTGCAATACATGTAAGCGCTTGAGTTTGCCTCCCATAGCAGCACCAGAATCTCTCTCTCTCTTTCTCTCTCTCTATAACTCTAACTCTCTGCTAACCCTTTACTACTGAATAACCCTTTTAAACCAACCAACCAACCCTTTATTCCCATCAGTTTATTGAATGCATTTTTAGCGAACTGTTATGTTATATAACAACACAACACACACATAGACACAACCTTTCTCTGTCTTTCTCACCGAAAAACGATGAAATGTATTGTAGAATACAGTATGTTTGACATATACAGTAAAAGACAGGCAAAGAGAGAGAGAGAGAGAGAGAGAAAGAGAGAGATAGGGTATACCATAAAATAGTAGTCGAGTAGTTCAACCATTGCTGGCAAAGTTAGCCATCAAACACATACAGTACAGTACATGTGATACAATGATATATACATACATCAAAATCATAATATTAATATTACATTAATAATAATAATAATAATAATAATAATAGCTATGATTCATATGGATGTTTGGGAAAAAAATACTAATAATAAAATACAAAACTACTAAACGTTACAAAAATTAAACATAAGTTTTTTTCATTGTTAGCAAAAGTTTAGACACAAATACATATATGCAGTAAAATTTTTTTAAAACATTTATCATAATTTTTTGATAATGTTGATTCATGTTTTTTTTGGTTAGTGGTATAAATATTAGTTATGCTCATAGATGATGATATGCTGCCCATGTATTAGAAACTATATGAAAAAGTATTAGATTTTTAAATGAAACCCATTTTCAATTTAAACAATAAATTAGTTGAAATTTTTTTTCAAATGTGATTCAAAATGGTTGAACTGGTGGTCTAATATGCAAAACTGATATTAAAGGCTCTAATATATTATATCTAATATTATTTTTTTTTAATATATCTTAATTTTTTTTAATTATTCAAACCATTGGTTATTTTAAACTAAATAATTTGTAAAATCATTTGTTAATATTGTTTCATAATATACATACACACATATAAACTCAAATTGCATTATAACTTAATAATAATGAGATTTTAAAAATTAAAAATTATTTTGGATGCAATTATTTTAGGTAACTATTTACTAAGTTTTAAGGATTGTTTTTAAAATATACAGTATATATATATATTCAATATTTACAGTATTTGTATTATTAATAAGTCATTAGTTAATTATTAATGCTAAGATTTGCATTATTGATTATTAAAAGTGGTGGGGTCTAAAAAAGGGGGGTCTAAGATTTATAATTTATAATATATTTTTCAAATATTTGCTAGTTTTAAGTAACAAAAAAATCATTTTTTTCAAATTAATTTTCTTTTAATCGTTAAAATCACTTAATTGCTAAAACATATGTACAGTATAATGAAATTTTATTTTTGTTTATAAATATTTATTTATTTTGCTATTACTATTCAATGTTTATTATAAATATCAAATGATTATTATAAATGTTTTATTACTATCTAATGTTTTTTGTTATTATTATTGTTGTTATAGTACTGTTTTAAACTTTTTTTATTTAAACTTTTTTTAAAAATCATATAATATTTAATATTCAATAAATACCGTAAATCAAAAATAAACATTTAGTATAAATTACTATATATTTTATGTGTGTGTGTTTTTAAATTGATACTAATTTTTTTTATTACTTATCTTAATATTTTACTACATTTTATTATTTTTTTGTTAGTTTGGGGGAAATAAAAATAAATGTATTATTTCACACATAAAGTGTTAAGTGTTTTTGTATATATATATATATATATATATATATATATATATATATATACTGTATATAATAGTATGCATTTATTTATATTATGAAATATATTATCAACAACAACAACAACAAAAAATTATTCAACAATAAGCCTTGACTTTTTGTTGTTGTTATATTACTGTAAATAGCGCTATATATATCTCATAATAATAATATAGATCAACAAAACTTTATTTTATTTAATATTAGACATATGCTTATATAAAAACCTTAAATGATATAATTTATTTACTTTTACTAAAATATTATTTTTTTTCTACTACAACAAAAAACAGTGCACTATTTTGATACTGTATTATAGATAGCTATTTAGTATTTAGTATTATTGAGTATAATAAATATTCAATTATAAAATTTATACCAATGTAGACAATAATATAAATTATTTTTGTTTGTATATATTATAATATTAACACGATATTCATGCCAGTGATTATTGTTAAAGTATTTTTAAAAAATCAATTCAATATTAATTTAATAATCAATTAACTTTAACTTTTTAAAATAACTAAACTAAAGTAAAACACACACACAATGCAAACAATCTTAAATCACGATTAGTTTTACCAACAAACAAAAAAAGATAAACAAATTTGACAAATATATATATATATATTAATATACTATTATAAAATATTTTTAACATTTTTTGTATAAACAACAACATCAACAAAATCAATGTAAATGTCAATTTTAATGTCATATACTGTATATAGCAAATAATAAAAATCATGTTTGATATCATGATTTTTTCCCCTATAAAATATTAGTATTGATAAATCATTAGCACACACACACACACACACACACACACACACACACACACACACACACACACACACACACACACACACACACACATCAAAACTATTTTATATTGAGTATTTTGTTTGCTATAAAACTTTATATATCACATGTATTTTATTTATATAGGAGTCATCGCTAATATAATATAATGTATGATATAAATCTATATATATATATATTTTTAAACTTATGTAACCAACAAAAAAATGTTATGATATTTAAAAAAACAATCAATATCAGGGCAACATAAAAAAATAAAATTACCAATGGGGTGGGTGGGGGTAAATAATCATAAATAGATGTTATATATATATATATTATCGTATATTAGATATTGTCGTAAACAAATAATTATACTTTTTTTCACCCACTGATAACATAAATCATTGGGACTATTATTGTAATAATGGACATCTCTCTCTCAATAAAATAACAGCAAAATATAAACTATAGTTTATATAAAAAGTTTATATAAATTATTGATACCAACAACAAAAAAAAACTTGAGCCCAAACTGTAGGGTATATAATATATATATATATATACACGGAATTTACAGGTATATTAAACATCTAACTCTATATACAGTATATACTGAATATATTATCTATAAAATCTATAAAAAACAGTATATAATATAATATATATAAGATAAACTAACCGGCATTCCAGGTATAATGGTCCAGGTGCTGATGGTTACCAGTGTGGGCCGGACTGGGTCCGTGAGCGTGATCGATGCCGCCGCCGCCGGACATCACTGATACCCAATGGACAAGACCCGAATTGGGCGATACGGGTCGGCCGGACGCCGTAACGGCGCCGACCGACGACAGTGGAGGCGTTTTGACTGGCGTACCGCCGATACTGGCCACAATACTGCCGACCGACGACGATAACGATTTACCATGAACTCCGGCGTCTGGAGCCCCGGGCCAGACCAGAGCCGCTTTCTGGACGGACACATAAAAACAAACAAACAAAATCCGGTAAATAAAACAAATTTAAAAAAAATCAATTTATATTAGAAATTATTTGATTATTTAATATTATTTGATTGCATTAATGCATTATAAATATATATTTTTTTCTTATATGTATTACTGATATACAAAGATATTGTATTGAAAAATAAATAAATACTGTTTTAATGTTAGCAAAAAATAATAAGTTATATATAGATATATATATATAAAAATAATGGTTAAGAAGTTTTTTTTGTGAATGCGAGCAATTGTAAGCTTAAGCAATAATTTTAAATTTGATAAATGTATGGATGGATTGGGGGACAGGGATTGGATTGGATGACAACCTTCACTGAATACATAGAGTTAGCCGAAGTAGAAGAAGTGGAGTTCAATAGTCTGTTGGACTCATAGGACATTCGGCTCTTATTAAACAACGACGACAAGTGACAGTTCTGGGTAACCACCGATGATGGCTGACACTGACTATCACTATCACTGAAAATCTCTTGTTTGATATGTCTGCTATTGTAGTACAGGTGCGCTGCAGCAGCCGCTGCTATGTTATCATAATCGTGAACAGCGGCTATACTATTGTTGTTGTGATGGTGCAGGTGATGGTCGCTGATGAGATGATGCGGATGATGATGCGGGTTTAGCACAGGATTAGACACCTGAATGGGTCCAATAGGTCCCAGCATTGCATACACAGCATTGGTGTTGTCGGTGGTGTTGTTGGTAGTGTTGTTCTGGTGGTGGTAGTATTGGTTGTTGTTGTTGACCACCACTCATACAGTACACTACCGGTTAACAAACAAACAAACAAAAATATATAGATAGGGACCAAAAGTTTTATATTTAGTTTTTTTTTAAATATATCAATAAAATTTATATCAACTATTCAACAGAGAGAAAAAAACATAACAACAACAACATCAACAACAACTGTATATTTATATATAACTATTGACACGAAGACATCGGGTGATAAAGAGAGAGAGAGAGTCAAGTGAAGAGAGAGCTGAGAGCACCGGAATCAAGAGTATCGCTTAGGAATGTATCGCAAAAACACGAAGAGAACACACGAACTGGAGAAGCATTCACTTGGATAGACATTCCATCACTAGTGTACTGTATGTATGTTTGTGTGTGTGTGAGGAAACACCACTCACTGATCGCGCGGATGAGTCGAGTGACTGACTCCAAGACACAGCCAAAGAAGTGACATTGGGTTTGTATGTGTGTGTGAGTGAGTGAGTGTATGTGCTGTACTGTATGTCTATAGTGGTGTGTGTGTGTGTGTGTGTGTGTGTGTGTGTGTGTGTATTCACAAGTGCTCAGCCCTACGCTCACAGAGTCTTATTATGTAAGACTGTTTCGGTGTTACAGATGAGCACTCGCGCCAATTGGACTCACATTGCTTCCCACCACAGGCGGCACAGACCTAACATTTGCCTTAAACACATCTCTTCTCAGGCATCTCTCTCTCTCTCTCTCTCTCTCTCTCTCTCTCTCTCTCTCTCTCTCTCTCTCTCTCTCTCTCTCTCTCTCTCTCTCTCTCTCTCTTAAAATCTCTGACAATACTTGATAGTACAGTATATATATATATATATATATATATAAAGAGGTGCCAGTGCTTCACCAAACAGAGCCACACATTGAAAAAAAAAATATATCTATAGCTCCCCCTCCTTATGATGAAAACCTGATATTAACTGTAATAATATTTACGGTGTACTTGTATTTTCTATATAAAAAATATATATATATATTGTATTTTATTTGTATATATATACTGTATATATAGTATTATAATATTATAAACTTTTAGATATTTATATATATATATATACTTTCATTGACTACTTTTTTTATACATCTACTATAATATACAAAAATAACCGACACTTGACTGAGAAAGAGAGTTAGGGCTCATAATATTTATGATAAAAATCACCTAAAAGTCTCATCAAAGTTACTTAAAAAAAAGTTTTTTTATTGTTGAATATTTAATAATACTTTTGTATCAAATTTTTTTTTTGAACTAATCTTTTTGTCAATTTATTTATTATTTGTTAAAAACTTAATACTGTATAAATAATATAGATTTAGTATTTTTTTAAATAAAATTTTATTAATTCTATACACAAAAAAAAACATTATTATTATTATTATTTGCATTACTTTTTTTTGCATTACTGGGAAATAATATCAATAATTTATTTATGATAGATATAATAGATAAATCATATATGTTTAAAATTAATAATTGTTTATTAAATAAATATAATTCATTTTTTTCAATTACACACAATATAATAATAAAACATTAGATTTTGGGAGAGTGTGGGAAAAAAGGATTTCCCGGGCACTGGTATTTAAAAATATATCATACATTCCAATAGTAAGATTAAATATATCCGTTTTATTTAAATAAATATATACCACCAAAAAAACAGTTTAGCAATGATATCACTGTCTATCTATTGAAATACCCTTTTATCTCTCTCTCTCTCTCTCTCTCTCTCTCTCTCTCTCTCTCTCTCTCTACTCTAAAATCTTTATCTATGAATAAGTTTTTTTTGGTAATATAAACATTACATTACATAACAATACCATATGTTATTGTTGTTGTTGTTATCTCTGGAAATATTAATTTTTTGTGTTTGTGTGGATATATTTTGTGTGTGAAATAAAAATCAAAACAATTTGTTAAAACCAAAAAATATATTATATTATATATATCTCTCTCTCTCACACACACACACAACAAAAATATGGATCTATGGTTTGTGTGAGTGAGTGAGCGACTAAGGGATAGTTATGTGATTAAAGTGAAGCTGAGAGAGAGAGAGAGAGAGAGAGAGAGAGAGAGACAGCACATCTTATTTTATGTGTGTAAGCAATAGGTGATCCATCACTGAAGTAATTTGCGGGACTCAGTGGGTTCTTAAAAGACTGGCCCCACACACACATAACAGTGCATCCAATGATACATATACTGTACATATATAAAAATTTTATGAGACATATGTATAGAAATGTCTACTTATACTGTATATGATATATAAGTGTGGGATGTATACATTGTATAGCAAGACTGCATATTTATCTATATGTATAGAAATTAGAGGAAATGCTAGTTTATATATATATATATATATCTTTCGGATGTATCGGCATTTATGGCCAACAAAAATATCATATGTCGGGCACTGGTAGTTATGTATATCGTTTGGGCACTCGAGAAATCAGACATCAAAGCAATTTTCGGATGACGACGACAACGACAAGTGTACAGTATATGCTATATGTATGTGCCATTTATTTGCTGTACAATTGACAAGCAATACCCCAATTACAGCTCCAGTGCCCTAATTAGAGGGCTCCGGTATAAGAGTAGAGTAGATACCCAACAATAACCAAAAAAATACTATCAGTTCCGGTAGATATATATATATATATATATATAAAACTATTTGCAATATATTTTTGTCAATTGAAAATTGCATAACTCATAGAGTATGTGAGATAGTTAGGTAGTTGGATGTGGGATAGTAATAATAATAGGCACCTGTATGTTGTTTTTTTAGGTGGGAAATGTCCATCTCTTTGATAAAAATCTATATATATATATATATAAAACTCTTACTACTATTACATATGTAATAACATCAGGGTATCAAATAACAGGAGAAAACATTTTTAAAAATTTATAAAAAAAAATAAATTTCACACAAAACGCCTCAAGGCTTTAAAGTGTATACTTCTACTACTACTACTAGTAGTAGTAGTAGTAATAAATAATAGTCATAGTAGTAGTAATAGTAATAGTAGTTGTAGTAGTAGTCTATCAATATATATTATATACAAATTTATTTTTATTGAATGACCCAAAATATAGTTTGATTTTTGCAAATAAGATTACAAATTGAAGACAAACAAAAAAAAAAGTCAAACGATATGTCTATAAAATACATAATTTATTTTAACAATCACACCATCAGAAAAAATTAGACAACAACAAAAAAAACACACACATATATATAGTAGTGTCACTAATTGTGTGTACACTAAAAAATACAGGTAATATTTACAGTAATTCAATGAAAAATTCAATGCAAATGTCAAAATAGTTTATATACTTTATATATATATATATATATATATATTATAGTAGAGAGGATTGCATGTCTATTACAGATGAGTGCCATTGGAGTGAAATAATAATAAGTGAAAAAAAAATTATTCAATGAATGAATGAATGAATGTATGAATGAATGAAACAAATTGATATAATTGTAATCATAAAAAAAATTACAATTTGTACTCAACTACAGTAACCAATAACAAAAAAAACAATAAAAAATAAATAAATAAAATTATTGTATGGGAAATCAATTGCTGCGGCGACACCTCACTATACATACACAACAGTATTATAAATATCATAAATATATTGAATATATTGTGTAATATACCTGTACTGTATATACAATATACAGGTATATATATATATATATACCTATAAATGCAAACTAAGAAAAAACTAATTGTTTGAGATTAACTTACAAAATGTAATGTAATTCAAGATAGAGAGCATATACCGTACATAAAATACACACATAAAAAATACTATACATTATATATACTGTATAAATATTGTACATATTGTACCGGTATATATCAAAAATCACATTTGAAGTTATTTTAGTTTTTTTTTATTTTGTTAAATTGTTGTGAACTATTGAAATGCACTTTAAAACACATATACATACACATAAAAAAAGTGATATGTTTTTATATTAATGGCATTTGAATAGTGCAATGATATATACAGCATATATATAGTCCTAACAACGATTGGTATGTATATAATAATAATAATATGATGTAAATTGTTTGATATTTTTAGGAAATGCACATCACTTAACATACATGAGATGACTGGCCATCAAGTATTAGTGAGTGAGTGAGAGATGGCTTTAGTTTTTTTTTCTATTCATTAGATTCAATGGTTTTGTCTGTTAATCAAACAAAATATATATAGATTTTTTTGAAGAAGAGAAAAGGGAATCAAATATTTGTATTTCCCACAGAAGGGTCGTCACCAATGATTACATACATATTGGATGTGCCCATAGATGAGAGAGAGAGAGAGAGAGAGAGAAGGCCCTTACCCAGAGAAAGAGAGAGAGAGTAAGTGAGAGAGAGAGAGAGAGAGAGACTCGAGCTAACTGTTTAATGGATAACAGGCCTCTAATGGAGGTCAAGGAGAAGAGTTTTAAGTGTATATACATGCACTGGGATGATAGGACCTTCACTAACCAAAACGGTGGTACATCATCATCATCATCACTAGTAACAGTACTACTGTATCAATACTACCCGTGCACTTATCCAACACACACATACATACATACAGAGAGAGAGAGGGAGAGAGAGAGAGAGAGAGAGAGAGAGAGAGTCTGTCAAAAAAAAGTTAGTCCTAAAAACTATTTGGAAAAGTTTTTGTACAACAAATAAAAAACTAAAAAGTTTTCTAAGTTTATCTATTGATTATTACAGAATTATTACAGTATTACTATTACTAAACTATTATCGTATATTATTTTATATGATTTGTATTCAGTGTCTTATTTTAATATTGTGTATTAAATTTTTCAAATAAAATTTTGTTAGTGTTTATACAGTATATACGGTTAATGTGATGTTTTGTTTTGTTTAAAGAGGTTTTTATTTTATTTTATTTAAAAACACAACACAATAAATCAAATTTAACTCCCGCTGAC